CCTATGGCTTCCACTCATCCCTCCTGGCCATGCCTGCAGAGATTTTTATGTCCTATGGGACAAGGGTCTCCTACTGGGATCAGGGCTTGATTCACAGGATCTCTTGTGATTTCACTAGACATATGGCATTATTTTAACTCAGGTTTTCCTTTTTGCAGTTCTTGTGGGTTATGATAGTAAATATCTTCAACAGTTATGATAGTGTTTTATGAGGGATGCAGTGGCAGTTCGGTTGATGTGCTGGACACATGAAGTGTCATGGTTGCTGCAGTCTGCATTTCATGAGGATTACATACTAAAAATCTCTCCTTTTGAGAAGGAAAACAAACAGGACATACATTGAATGTAATTGATAAAAGACAAGACTCTAATCGGTGTGTATGTATACGGAAAAACTGGGAGAAAATTAAGTAGATCATAAAACAGAACTAAGATTACCAGCAGGGCAAGAACTACAGCTACAGCTCATCTCCACAAGCGAGTGAAAACACATCTATCCTGTAATCCTGGGGGCTGGTGGGAATCCAAGTGAATGATAAATGCGGTTTGTCTGTTTTTTCTTAAGTCAGCATCTCAGGACTTCGTTGTAGCATACAGTCAGCAGGATCATGGCAGTCTGGGTTGTTGTTGTTGGATTTAAAATATCACATTCATCACTGTATTCATTTTTCATTGCGCTGTTATATACTTAGTGGTTAGTAAGGCATTTACCTCTGTTTTGAATCTATAAGGAATTCCAAGCACTGCATTACTGGAAATTCATGTAAACTCCTTGGCAAAAATGGGTAAAAGCTAAGGGTCTGCAGATGTCCATTTTAGGGAAGCACATTTTAAATGTAATAAATGCCCAGGAATCGTAGCAGATGGTGTTGTATCAATCGGTGCGGGGCAAGATGTGAGAACGGGCCTTTTGAAGAGGTTCCAGAGGAGCGTACTGCAGTTTGGGATGGTGGCAAGGAGTGAAAAAAAAATTCAGCAGATAAACTGAAGGGAACGTATCTTTGGTTCAATTTGTAAACATTTGTGTTCATTTCCAAAGTGCTGTTTCACCTGTGTGGAGAGAGAGGTGCGTGTGAGGTGTAAATACACGGTGGGTGTTTTAAGAAGGGAAGTACACCATCCGAAGAGGTTTTGGGGTATTTCATACCATTACATAATGATGCACTATTGGATTCTGGTGCCATTCGCCGCCTTTGTAATCATTCAGAAATAATGCATCGGTTCCCATGCTCAGAGCTTCGTAACCTTAGTTAACCCTTGCATCGTGAGACGGCCATGGCAGTAAATCTCACCATAGAGCTGTGCCCGATTGGGGCTGGATACAGTCCCAAGGCACGTACGGGGTTGCACATGCCGTGCTGTGTAATGTCTACGTGTGCATTTGAGATGCCCGTGTGCCTGTCCCCGGCAGAAGTTCTGGGTGAGGACATGAGCACCTGCACTGTACAACCCGCTTGCCTGAGGCAAGCAAGGTGGAGCTGTGTCTGGTGTCCCCGCACGCATGCTGTGGTACAGGCACTTGCTCAGCCCCACCAGGTGGGGTGGGAAGGCTGCTTTTAACATAAGGAACGGGTGAAAATATATATATGCAGAGTGGTAGTGAGGATGTAATAACGCTAAAAGATTTTTCTTAGCTCTTTTAGAGATAGTGGTACAGGCCAATGCTTTTAGCCTAAGGCAAGCCAAAGAGAGATGTCACGAGAAGAAGAATGGACGGCAACGGGGAGAGGCGAGATGGGGCGGAAGGAGTAAACATTTCCCAGCTAGGACCAACCACAGAACGAGGTCAGGCTGGTTTAGGTAACCAAAGAAAAATAAGGCTAATGTTTAGACAGTCTCCCTGCAACAGGATGTACATCTGTTAAGTACATCCATTTACCATATTTGTAACATGCATTTTTCTGTTGGTGATGATGTAATACAGCAGTGGGCTCTGGCCTCTGTCAGGGCAGGAGCATACCCCCTGCTCCTGGGAGTTTAGCTCTGTGCTGAAGGCTGGCTGGCTGATAAAACATGCCTTGGCCAGCCTGGGAGCTTTTAAAGAGAAGGAACCTCAGTGGGGGCTCCCCCGCTTTTTCTTGGGAGGTGCTTTTAGGCTGAGGCTCTTGCACCTGGCCCCCGCCTGAGCTGCAACCCCAGGGGTGTCACAGCCCTGCCTGTGCCTGGCCTTGGGGACCACTGACCCGGCCTCCGGCTCTTGCTGTGTCCTGAGAGCCCGGACCAGTGCTTCTCCCCTCACAGCGTCTGAGGCACGGGCATGATTGAGCTCTGTTGAGCTGGCCGCCCGTTAGTGCTTAACATCCTAAACCTTTTTGGAATTGGATATTCGGTATTGGGACAGATGTTAGCGGCTCATAATTACAATTTTAAATTGTATTCAGACGTTTAGAGATAAAAGTCAGAAAAGTAATTTTAGTTCTGCAGGTTTCAGAGGACAATGCTAAAAGACCACTCAACTGATTTTTTTATTTGCTGTCGATTTGGTTGCCCACGAATATCAAGATTCTTCCTGTTAAGTTTGTAAAATCATTCCACTTACCCATTTTCGTCATGCAGTAGCTGTATCACATCCTTCTGATCCATTTGATATGCTGCATAGTTGATATTTTCAGTACAGTTCTTCCAAACCCAGTCCTTTGGAGTACTGGTTTTCTCCCTGGAATTGGTGGCAGGAACTCTTTCATCTCTGACTTACAGCTGGGGGTCAACAGTGTTTTGGTAAGTGTATTCCAGGCAGTAAGTATACGAAGGACAATAGGAGAGTGCTATAGCCATGACGGTCTAAAAAGGTAAGTGAGGTTGGTCTGTAGGAAGATGAAATATGTCGTCTAAGGCCCACCTGATGCAATTAAAATAGACATATACTTCAGAGATCCCAGGGCTTCCCCAGATCAGTGTGGAATTCCTACATAGCTGAGGGGCCACCTAACAATTTCTATTGACCTTAGCAGCCCTCCTGGGTCAGATTCAGAAACCCTCTGACCTCAGGCTAGGTAAACTACATTGTAGTTAATGACCTCACGCTCCAACTTTCATCTGATCAGTGCTTGAATTAGTAAGGGGTAATGACTGAAGCCTACTGTCCATGGTTTATTAGCACACCGTCCTTGTGATTTTAACACATACGCCTGTACGAAGAAAATGACTTTGTGTGTAGTCTGAGAGCTTCTTTCACCACTTTTCATTTAGAGCAGTTTTTAACAGAGTGTTTTGCTGGAGTAAGAAGCTCAGCATAAAACTCTAATAAAGCCAAACTTGAAAGACACCAATTTTTCCTACAGCAGTGACACATTACATAAATAAAACACTGAGTAATCCAGTAAGAGAATAGTTTTCTCAGGACGCAGGTCGCTGCCATCTGCCCTTTATAGAAGGGAGTTTTTGTATATGGTTGCTGGGGGAGGGAACTTCTCCAAAACCAGCAGCTGGCAATGGAAGTCTTCAACTCCCCATCTGCCGACCGCCCCTAAATTTCCCGGCATTTTGGAGACCCCGTGGCTTGCCTCTGGGCTTGCGAATCGTCTGGATGCTTGCGCACGCCACTTCACTGGTCTGGCTCTCTCAGAGGAGGCAATGCATTCCTAGTGACTTGATCAGAGACGTAGGTTACAAAAGAAAATATGGCACAAAATATAACTTTGGATTGAGGTTAAGACAATTCTTCCTTTCCTGTTTCATTGTTCATGACCTGGGGCTCCTTAAGCATATCCAACTTGCAGGCACTGGGGAACCAGGGTTGAAAGACACTCTCTTTCTTTTACGTGACCTCCTTAACACTGGGTGAAAGATTTTACCACATTTTTTCTGGCAGAGTGTCCTGTCGTGACCAATGCAAATACAGTAATTGTGGCTTGCCTGAAGGATCATTATGCCTGAAATGCAAAATATTTCCTGGTTGTACTCTCCTCTTCTTGTTACAATGTTTTCCACGTGGCCTAACCAGTTGTCCCCTGCCCAGTCACTCTGCACAGCTCTCCTAGATCCCGAGCGTACGACACCCTGTATGTCGTGCATCCAGCCATCACACTTGTTACCGGGTCTGTGACTTTTGGCACGGGATCAGCTTTCTGATACTTGACACGATCAGGCCTTTGTCTGCCCTGAACGTTCAGGGATCCTGAATGCTGCCCATTGCCAGAGCATGAGCTTCTGTCCTCTGACTGCCGCTCAGATCAGGTCGTTTGGACTCGAAGCACACGCTGTGCTCTGGCTCGGTCCCTCCTGCACGGGCGCACAGCCGTGCTGCAGAGCAGACCTGCCGTGAGCAACCAACCCAACAGCAAATAAAAAATCCATTAATTGGTCTTTCAGCATTTTCCTCTGTAACCTGCAGAATTAAAATTACTTTTCTGACTTTCATCTTTAAACATTTGAACACAATTTCAAATCCTTGCAAGAAATAAGAGCTGCCAACCTCCGTCCCAATACTGAGTTTCAAAGCTATATCCTTTCACAGCAATAGTCTCTGCTACTTATGAAAAGTTATTTGTCAGGAAAGGTGTTATTTTATGAAGAAAATACACCACCATATTTTCATCTTTGGCACAGAACTATGAAGTGAAAATTATTATTCTCTAGGCAGTTTAATTAATTTGAAATGTTCCTCAGAAGACTTAGCTCCTATATAGTAGTCTCTGTATAGATTGCAGAATGCTTTAGAAAATAAAAGGAGAAAACATGTTAAACCCTCCTTAGCTGGCTACAGACATATACAGATATTTTAGATTAAAGAATCTTTTTGTTTTGTACCATAAGTAAAGAAGAACCTAAATCCCCTTGCTAAAATTAAGACAATCGCTGTACTCACTCAGAGCATGTGGAGATCGCTCTAGGTCTGTGCCCCCTTCAGGCATTCAGTTAAACATTTGCTGATTCGTTAAATTCATTCCTATTTAGCAAATAAACTTAAGCATGTTACTTCCCATGAAATCTGTGGGCTTAAGCTCGGACAAAATTAGGTCTCTCCTAATACTTCTCTCACTCAGCCTTTCTCGTCTTACACTGGCGCTGGTTTGTGGGGTTTAGCAGCTCATACGGCGAGCCCAGGAGCAAAGGTCGCTCAGCGCAGAGCTCTTCGCAGTCCTGGGAATAGAGGCGAGAGGGCTGTACACTGACGGTGTCTGTGTAGCCCTGGCACAGCAAGGCTGGTTTAGCCGTGTATCTGCATCCGAGCCCGATGAATGCTCTTTCCTTTGAACTTCCAATGCGCTTGGTTATGGCCTCTCTTTCCAGGCCACATTTTGATTTTCCACGCATCTTCCCTTCTTTTAATGCTTACCTGCCATCCTCTGCTGAAGCCACCCATGCCCAAGCTCTGCACTGTGCATTAGAGAGATCTTGCACTAAGAAATCCCTGACGCTAGCAATCGTTGTGTATTATATATTTGCATCCACATGTAATCTTAAAATTTCCTGTTTTGCAGTAACTTTGTAAACAATATTTTTCTCTGTTTTAGTGGCAATAGTCACATTTTTGTTATTTGAGACCATCTGCCAAATACGATTACTTAAAGCTTAACGGCTGCTCTACCATTTCCTGGTTTTAGCCTGATGCAGCCCAACCCGATTTCAAGGGTGTTACTTTTAGTTTACAGTAGTCAGTGCAGGATCAACTGCATGGCATTCAGAGAGGCCGCAGTTCTGCAAACATTTTTTTTTTTCCTCCTTTCCTCTGAGATGTCTGAGTTACCATATGCAGACTACATCTGGTATCTGAGCTATACGGGGCAAACCTGGCAGGGCAGTTGTGCTGTGGAGGTTGTGGTAGAGGCAGAATTTAGCCAGGAACAGTTAGCTCTATCCCTACAGTTGTGTATCCATCTGTCCACCTGTGCTTTAGCCATATGTGCATTTTATCGTATCTGCTTGTCACTATATAATCATATGAACACCATTTCCCATAAACTGTAGACTGGCACTGGGATATGTTCACAAGTCTTTTTCTATACTGTTATAAAAGTGCTTTTTAACAGCTTACGAACATTTTTTTTAAGCCAAAAGAACGTTTCCAAGCCATTCACACGTGCAAGAAGTGCTTTTATTTTTGCCTTAAGTGAAAGCCATCAAGGGTCTGTAAAAAGCTGAGCAGAAAATAGTGCTCTACCTTATAGCAGGCAGGAAAACCAGCTGGTGATCACGGCTCAAAAGTCCCACAGTTAATAATCTTGCAGTCTACTGTAGGCCTTTCGTTATACGTAGGTACGGCTTCCAGTCTCTGGAGGACCTCCGTGCCCTCGATCAGTTGCCTACAGGAGGGAGAAAGCGCACATAGGATCTGTCTCTGTCTGGAGCCAGCTCCGCAGCCTCCAGCTTGTGTGGGGCTGTAAGAAACACAGGCACCAGTTTCCTACCAACAGGCTGCACCCGCTCTGCTCTTTAAAGAGTTGTTCTTTGCAATGGAGTGACAAACGCCGTCAGTTCTTGATTAAGTAGCCGCTAGGTAGCATTTTAGGAGAGAGAAAAATGCTACGGCTTTATGCAGCTACACTTATATAAAGAAACAAGCGTTTTACCATGTGCCTTGGCTACAAATGGCCATTACTTTTAAGGAGAAAGAAGTCAAGAGACACGCTGTCAGAAGTGACAGTTATTGGAAGTGACTCGCTGAGAAATCTTTCGTTTCCTGCCTTCACAATGCCAATCTGAATCCTGAAAACAGTCCAACATCTTGCAATCATTACGATTTTCAGCCTGTCCTGCTCCCACGCTGCAGGAGCACAAGCTGTGCCTCCTGCACACACAGGCACGGTGATGGATGCCAGCAGTGCTCTGGAAAGCTTCATATCATATCCCACCCCATCCCACCCACCACAGTGGTACCAAGCGGGGAGGACATTGCAGGCAGCCCTTGCCCAAGCAGGGACGTCAGAAGGACTGAGCCAGTGCAGGGCTGGAAGGTGCCCGGCTGTCCTCATCCTATGCTGTGGCTGCTTTTTGCTCCCTCGGAACTAAACCCCCACTCAGCTTCAAGAGGGCCTGGCTATCAGATCGTGGATCCCACACCTTTCAGATTACACAGAGCCGGTGGCAAGGCTGAAACTCGAGGTGAATGCTGCTGGTTATAAATATATCCGGCCAGCGATCGCTTTTGGTTTGTTCTCTGTAGGTGAGGCAGTTGTGCTTTTCACTTCCTTTAAAAATGCTGTCTTTCACCATGAGGTGGTTACATGGAAACTGCACTGTGAATTTCTCGCTCTGTGGTAATACATACATATTTTATTCTCTTACATCAAGCAAACTGCTCAGAGCAATAATCTTCCCTATTATATTCCTGAAAATCTAAAAATCTTAACAGGGCCAGCCCTATACATTGACCTACGGAGAACAAACTCCCAGCATGCATTCGCTAAAATAATTTCTTTCAGCTCGTGAGGGCAGAGCAGAGCCCGGAGGCTTTGCTCAACACCCCTCTGTCTGTCAGGGCCCGCCTTCGGCTGACACCGAGCCATGCAGCCATCAATTTGTAGCCCTCATCCTGGAGAGGCCCCGGCAGCTTTGCCATAGGGTTTTCCAGCTTGAGCAAGCCAGGCCAGGGCAGAGAAAGGGAGGGATGGGTGTCATTAGGTACTTCAGACCTGAGTTATCCATCCTCCCCCTGGCCAGAGGCAGCAGCTGCCGTGAGGATTTCATGGACGCTTCCTCCCGGGCAGCTGTGTCCTGCGGGGCCAGGGCGACCTCTCACGCAGTGCAGTGGCGGCAAGCTTGTGCGTACCTACCCGAAAGCCACGTATTTTTTGTCCAGGTAGGGAGCTGGCTGGAGGGTGATGTAGAACTGCGAGCCGTTGCTGTGGCGGCCCTTGTTGGCCATCCCGAGGACCCCTCTTCCCTTGTG